TGGTGGGTGCTTTGGGAGGAACGGTTGGTGAAAGGGCTGGAGGGAGGCAGCATGTTTGGCCTTGCAGTAATAGGCCTTGGGTTACTGCTGGTAATCCTGCCTTCCCCTTGTAGGGTTAGAGGAGGTCAGAACATGTGGCCTCCTTGCCATTTTAGCAGTAGTACAGTGGCTGAACTACTATTACTGAGTACAACTGAATAATACTGCTAAAGGGACTGGGTTATTAGAATCTCAAGTGTGTACAATTGTAAAAATGTGTGGTTTACTTATGAATTTCTTAAGTTCAAAATACAGACACTGTACTTGATACCTGTTCACTTATTTACCATTCTTATTTTCTTTTTTGCAAGAGCTGCCTAAGGTACATGGAGCCACGGAATCTAACAGGTGTCTCAGAATTTATTCTTCTGGGTGTTTCTGAGGATCCAGAACTTCAGTCTCTGCTCTTTGGGTTGTTCCTGTCCATGGACCTGATCACTGTTTCTGGGAACCTGCTCATCCTCCTGGCTGTTAGCTCAGATCCCCACCTCCACACACCCATGTACTTCTTCCTCTCCAACCTGTCCTTGGCTGACATTGGTTTCGTCTCCACCACTGTCCCAAAGATGCTGGTGAACATACAGATGCAGAGCAAATCCATCACTTACGTGGACTGCCTAACACAGATGTCCTTCTTTTTTCTCTTTGGATGTCTGGACAGTCTGCTCCTCACTGTGATGGCTTGTGACCGATTTGTGGCCATCTGTTACCCTCTGCACTACACGGTCATCATGAACCCCCGCCTCTGTGGCTTGCTAGTTTTGGTATCTATTTTCATTAGCCTTTTGTACTCCCAGCTGCAGGTTTCATTGGTGTTACAGGTTACATTCTGCAGAGATGTGGAAATCCCTAGTTTCTTCTGTGACCTTTCTCAACTCTTTAAGCTTGCCTGTTCTGACATCTCCACCAATACCATATTGCTATACTGTATTTGTGCCCTCTTTGGTGGTATTCCACTCTCTGGAATCTTATTCTCTTATGCACGAATTCTTTGCTCCATTTTGAGAGTCTCATCTCCAGGTGGAAAGTATAAAGCCTTTTCCACCTGTGGCTCTCACCTGTCAGTTGTTTGCTTATTTTACGGAACAAGTCTTGGTGTGTACTTCAGTTCAGATATCTCAACATTTACCAAGAGGGGTGTTGTGGCCTCAGTGCTCTACACTGTGGTCACCCCCATGCTGAACCCCTTCATCTACAGTCTGAGGAACACGGACATCAAGAAAGCACTGTGGAGGTTCCTCAGCAGAACAGCCAAAGCTTAACAATTGTGACAATTTCTTTTTGATGTGTCTGTTGAAAAAGATGACAAAATCTAACACCTGCAAACTGAAGTCATGTCTCTTTGGGTACATAAGTTTTGTAAGTCTGATAGGCTTCAATCCTGGATTTTCTATCTGAACATTGCTTCCTGTGTCATGTCTTTGATACAATTTTGGGAGCATTCTGGGATAGGTCAATCTGCGTGATCAAATCCCCTTATAGTTATAGGGACTTCCATAGATCGTCATATGTGGTCCAAGCTTCCTGGTAAAATGCACCATTCTAGTTTTACATATTTATGATCTTCTTCCTTTACCATAATACTTATCTCTTATTCAGACTACTTTAGTATGTAAGAGAAGTGTATATGTAGGCTATGTTTGGGAATGCATGTCACTGGTCATGACCTTGGCTTCATATGGGAAAAACATGGGAAGCTAAAAATATTTTATTCCTTCATCTCATCATTGCAGATTCTGATTTAAATGTGATAGTATTTATCTTGAGTATAAGATTTATGAAACAACACTAATGGTTTTAATATGCAACCAATATGAGAACTACTCATTTTTCAATACTTTTTCTTTAAAGATGACTAGTTTGTTGTTCATAGTGCCTAAGGTGTTTAACTGCTAACCAGAAGGTTGGCAGTTCAAACCCACCAGTCACTCCTCAGATGCAATAAACTTCCATAGAGATACCACCTTGGAAACCCAAGAAGGAGTCTCTGTGAGTCAGAATTGACTCAACTGCAGTGAGTTGAGTTTAGTTTGTTGTGGGTCTTTTATTCCACCTGAGTAGATGCTGAAATCTCAGAGTTACCAGCACTCACAATTGAAACACATGAAAATATTTATGCCACAAAAAAGCAACTGAATTTTCTCAATATTCCTGATATTTCTCCTCATGTCTCCCTCCATATCATTCTGTTGTTACTGCTCTGGATTAGCTCTGTGACACTGCAGGTCCCGTGCCCAACAGAAGAAAATAGTGCCCAGTCCTGCACCATCCCCATGATTGACTTGGATTAGACCATCGTGACCCATAGGATTTCATTGGATGATTTTCAGAAGTAGATCTCGAGCCCATTCATAATAAAACATCTTAGTCTGGAATCTCTGCTGGAACCTGTGCAGTGCTTTAGCAACACACGTTCTGCTGACAGAGAGTGACTCCACAGGAGGTACATTCATTGGGAGTCACCCCTGGCCTTCTGTGTGGAAGGGGACTGCTTACCCAATGAACCTCCATTGCCTATGCACTGCACACCACAAACAGGGTCCCATGTGCTTGCTGATAAGCTACTGTCCATCTTCTTCAAATTTGCCCTTTTATACTTTACTCTGCCGTGTTGGACTGGAGAGGGAAAGATGGTTAAACTACTGTTCTGATTCCCATCTGGCTTTATTATTAGGTTCTTCAGATAATATTCAGTAAAGATCACCTCACTTATTAAGCTCACTTTTCCCTTGTCTCTGTGTCCTTAGGCCCTGCTGTGGTGGCTGATTTCTGCAGTTACTGTCTCTGCATTGCCACATTAGTCTTTTTTTTTTGTCTTTCAGTCCTTGTATAACTATTTTAACAATTTCCTGTATTTAAGGCTCTTTGTGATATTTTCACCTTTCTTTATTGAATCTTGACTGATAAATTCTACATGGGGCATCAAGGTATTTGTGAAGTGTCTAAAATTGGAGCATAGAAAGCATACCTTATAAGTTTTTCCATATGACATAACCCCTAGATGTTATTTTCATAAGTGCTTAAGCCATCTTTTATTTATTTTTACATTTTACTGACTTCAATTTCTAGTGCTTTTGTTTCCCTCCCCCTTAGTATTGTCTTCACCTTGCTTCCTGTGGATGTGGAAGTCTGGTTCCCGGGAGCAGAACCGCACCGGCCCACACTGGACTATCTAACGCAGCAACTCTCCCAGCGGGATCTCCTCCCTTCTCTGCAAACTGCTTTCTCCTCTGCAGGCAGAAATCCATTTTTCTACCAGAAAGAGCACTCATTAAGTGGTGCTGGGATCTGCACACTCTTGCCCAGAGAGGACAGGTGTTACTAGCATGCCACATTTGCACACATTCCTCCCCTGTATCTAGTTTTAGACCACCGTACTGAGGTTGTTTGAACCTCCCAACCACACGGGTGCTCTGGGGAAAACATGGGAGCATAGGTGTGGAGGGGGTCAAGTGCCCATTGCTTGCATGAGATGGGCCTTACCAGCCAGCTGGAGGCCCTACGGTCTGGACACTGCCCTCCCACACATATACTGTCCTACTGCCCAGCCTCACATGGATTTGTCACCCTGGGACCTGAGAGTGTGTGGTCAGGCTGTGGCCACCCTGCATGCCATGCTCTGCCCAACCCTCCTCTTATTTCCAGTGAAGCATCTCTGGGGGAAGAATGGCTCCAAGAACTTCAGTGCCCTCAGGCCTCTGGGAGAACTGTCTCCAAACAGAAAGGAGTTTCAGTTGTTTATTTTCTGATTACCAGGGAATTACCAAACTTGATCCATGATTACCTGACCAGGTATTATACCTTTATTATACAAAGATGATCAAAAGTAACATTTATATACTATTGAGTGAAGCCGAAATTCACTTCTGGAAATGGCATGCCACGTGTGTAACTTTTGCATGGACACACTATGCCAGAAATGTTTCACACAATTTCTTCATTTCTGCTTGCTCCATATTTTTGAGTGTTGTTTATGTGGGTGCACTATTTGTGAAAAACATGTGGTAATAGGTTCTGCAGGGAAAGCATTAGATTTTCAACATTAGCTCCTCCAACTCATTAGGTGAGTGAACTGGGGCTTGTTATTAAAGTCTCATGGTCTTCAGTTAATGATACTTAGCTTTTTTTTTTTTTTTTTAATGATACTTAGCTTACAGTCTGTAAAGATCAAACAAGTAATGCATGCATGGTCAGAATTCAGGATATATAGATATCACTGCCATTGTCACCTACTCTACAGCTTATGCCATTAAAATAAATTATTTGAACTCTAAGTGTGGTTTACTCTGCATTTCTGACATGCAATTATAATTTAACTTTACACAATAAGGCCTTGAATAGTTTAAGGGCAGGGAATGAACACCATTTATTTATATAATAAAAATGTAGTGCAGTGGGGCCTGAGATTAAGCCCATCTCTTCTCTATATTATGTTGAATAAATGTTGTGCTGTGTTGCTGTTATGTGCCATTGAGTCGGACCCGACTCCTAGCGATCCTTCCTTGGGTTTCCAAGGCAGTATCACTACGGAAGTAGATTGCCCCATCTTCCTCCCGAGGAGTGGCTGGTGGGTTTGAACCGCCAGCCTTCAGGTCAGCAGTCAAGTGCCTTAGGCACTATGCTACCAGAGCTCCCACTGAATAAATAGACACTATCTTATGAGAAATGAGCTCTGGTGGTGTAGTGCCTAAGACATTTAATAGCCCACCAGAAGGCTGGCAGTTCTAAACCCATTTTCTCTGATAAGCTCTACCTACTGCCCACCATGTAATCAGTTCAGCATAATATTAAAATTTTGCAACTGTCCAAGCATTCTCAAAGGTCTCAACACCTAGCCTCAACTTCTCCAGTCCAGTTGTACACAGCTGCCATTTGATCATTTGGTCTCCAAATACTACTGCCTATCATATATAAAGAAAGAGTATTTCTCTCTCTCCTTCTCTCCATGTCCAATTTATATGTCTATGTCTATGTCTATGTCTATGTCTATGTATCTTGTTGTTGATATTTGCTGTCAAGTCGGACCTGACTCATAGTGACCCGTCCTTGGGTTTCCGAGGCAGTATCACTATGGAAGTAGATTGGCCCATCTTCCTTCTGAGGAGTGGCTGGTGGGTTTGAACTGCCAGTCTTCTGGTTAGTAGTCAAGTGTCTTAGGCACTATGCTACCAGAGCTCCTACGTATATGTACATACATAGAAGTGTACATGTATATGTATATATCCACAAGCATATAAGTTTTCTTCATGTCAGCTATTAACAAACCAATCTCTATTTCCTAGGTAAAGAGATCTTTGAGGCAGGAGGGATACATGGATTGGCTATAAGATGTGCAGCAGACCATTATTCCCGTACCAAAAACCAAACCAAACTCACTGTCATCGAGCTGATTCTGACTCATAGTGACCCTCATTTTCTGAGACAGTAAATCTTTGTGGAGAAAGATTGCCCCCTCATCCTTCCACAAAGAGACTGGTGGGTTTTTACTATCAACCTTCTGGCACTGTGCTGCCAGAGTCCCTTATTATTTCCATAAAACCCACTTTATCTATTATGATAAAAATTAATAATAAGAAAATAAAATAAAACACTAAGCCAAAAGCACAATTTATTAAAGACTTTGTGGGTTCTGAACAAAAAGAAATCTAAAGAAAATTTTATTATGGAGTCAAAATTGTGTTTTGCTGCTGTTAATTGTCATTGAGTCAGCTCTGATCCTAGTAAACTTCCCACAGCAGACTGAAATGATGCCCTGCCCTGCCCCACGTTCATGACCATTGGAAAGCTTGATTCCAGTGTTGTGGCCATTGTGTTAATCTTCCTACTCAATCTTATTCAGGAAGTTCTGCTAAAATCTGTGCATCCTGAGTGGACCTGCTAAAAGTTGAAATACTGGGAGGCCATCAAGAAAAAAACATAAAACTCCAAACAACAGCCAAGAGCTACAGACTGGAATATATGAAGTTCTTCCTAGTGACAGAAATCTTAGTTCCAAAATTGCAGTGTGTCTACACTTATGGAGATCCATATGCATAAGGCTAGGGGTTCAACCCCACCAGCAACTCCTCGGAGGAATGGTTGGGCAACTGACTGCTGTAGAGATACCGCCTCAGAAACCCAAGGAGGGGTCACTATGAGTCGGGCCTGACTGGATGGCAGTGAGAATTTTCTTTAATATGTGTTGAGGAGAATAGCAATCCATAGGGTTTTTATGGCTGTGACTGCTACAAGGCTGTCTTCTAAAACACGACTTCAATACATTGGTTCTAGATCACATGCCACCTCCTCAAATGGATGAAGATCGACAAGGTCTTTTTGGTACAGTGACTCTATGTATTCCTGCCATCTTCTCTTGATGTTTCCTGCATCATTCAATATTTTGCCCATAAAGTCTCCCAATATTGCAACTCGAGGCTTAAATTTTTTCTTCAGTTCTTTCAGCTTGAGAAATGCCGAGCATGTTCTTCCCTTTTGGTTTCCTAACTCCAGGTCTTTGCACATTTCATTATATTAATTGGTTTTGTCTGCTCGAGCTGCTCTTTGATATCTTCTGTTCAGCTCTTTTATCTTGTCATTTATTCCATTTGCTTTAGCTACTCTCCGCTAGAGAGCAAGTTTCAGAGTCTCTTCTGTCATCCATTTTGGTCTTCTCTTCTTTTGTTGTCTTTTTAGTGACCTCTTTCTTTCTTCATGGATGATCCTCTTGATGTCATCCCACAATTCTTCTGGTTTTCGGTCATCGGTGTTCAAGGCATCAAATCTATTCTTTAGATGGTCTCTAAATTTAGGAGGGATATATTCAAGATCATATTTTGGCTCTCTTGGACTTGTTTTAATTGTCTTTAACTTCAAGTTGAACTTTCAAATGAGCAGTTGATGGTCTGTTCCACAATCAGCTCCTGGCCTGATTTTGGCTGAAGATATGGAGCTTTTCCATCACCTCTTGCCACCGATGTAGTCAATCTGATTTCTCTGTGTTCCATCTGGTGAAGTCCATGTGTATAGCTGCCATTTGTGTTGTTGAGAAAAGGTGTTTGCAATGAATAAGTCTTGCAAAATTCTACCCTGCAAGTTCCAGCATTATTTCTGTCACCTAGGCCAAATTTTCCAACTACCAGTGATTCTTCTTTGTTTCCAACTTTTGCATTCCAGTCACCAGTGATAATTAACACACCTGATTGTGTGTTCAGTCAATTTCAGACTGCAGAAGTTGATAAAAATCTTAAATTTCCTCAACTTTGGCTTTTGTTGTTGGTGCATAAATTTGAATAATAGTTGTATTAACGGGTCTTGTGGGAGCTCTGGTAGCGTAGTGGCTAAGGCACTTGACTGCTAACCAGAAGGCTGGTGGTTCAAACCCACCAGCCACTCCTCGGAAGGAAGATGGGGCAATCTACTTCCGTAGTGATACTGCCTTGGAAACCCAAGGAGGGGTTGCTATGAGTCGGGTCCGACTCGATGGCACATAACAACAACAACAACAGGTCTTGTAGGTGTATGGTTATTGTGCTATCACTGACAGCATTGTGTTTCAAGACAGATCTTGAAACCTTCTTTTATGATGATGAATGCCACACCAGTCCTCTTCAAACTGTCATTCACGGCATACCATGATCTATCATGTGATTCAAAATGGCCAAAACCAGTCCATGTCAGCTCACTAATACCTAGGATATCAATCTTTATGTGTTCTATTTCATTTTGACAGCTTCCAATTTTCCTAGATTCATACTTCGTACATTCCATGTTCCAATTATTAATGGATGTTTGCCGCTGATTCTCCTCAATTTGAGTGGTGCCACATCAGCAAATGGAGGTCTTAAAAGCTTTACTTTTTCCATATGTGTAAGGCTGGTTTTACTCTGATAATTCAGCTCTTTCTCAGTCCTATTTTGAGAGCTTTCTAACCTAAGTGACTCATCTTCCTCCTCTGTATTGGACATTGTTTCCGGACTATTCATAAAGTTGTGCAGTAATTTGTCAGACAGTGCTTCTCTGCTATTCATAAGGTTTTCCCTGGCCAATTCTTTGAGAAGTGGATGGCCTCTTCCTTTCTTTTAGTCTGTCTCAGATGGCAAGCCGGGCTGATACCTGTGCACTATGTGTACCCCACTGAGTTTGAAACACCAGTGGCACAGCCTCAAGACTCACAGCAACACGTCACCACCGTAGAATAAACTGACAGACAAGTTTGTCTCCCTTAGCTGTTGGAAACCTCTCCAATCATCTTTACCCGGATCCCTGCGGGTGACTCCTAACTCTGACAGAGTCCCCTTGGCCTTTTCTGTTCTTCCCCTACTTTCATATCTTGCCGCTTGTGGGGCGTGGCCTGGGTTCCCTCTCCTCACCTGAATCCCTGAGGATACCTCATATATATAGGGCAATCTACTTCCGTAGTGATACTGCTTCGGCAACCCAAGGAGGAGTTGATATGTGCCGGGTCACACTCGATGGCACATAACAACAACAAAACAAAGATACATATGTGTGTGTGTGTGTGTGTGTGTATCTGTTGTTGTTATGTGCTGTTAAGTCGGACCCAACACATAGCAACCCCTCCTTGGGTTTCCAAGGCAGTATCACTACGGAAGTA